TGGTCGTTTTTTCGGTTAAAAACGCCTTACTATATATACATTGTCGTTTTTTTCGGTGACAAACGCTTCCTATGCATGGTCGTTTTTTCGGTGAAAAACACTGACTATACTTGGTCGTTTTTTGGGGCTCAAAACGCCTTGCTATACATGGTCGTTTTTTCGGTTAAAAACGCCTTCCTATACATGGTCGTTTTTTCGGTGAAAAACACCTGACTATACATGGTCGTTTTTTTGGTTAAAAACGCCTTCCTATACATGGTCGTTTTTTTTGGCTAAAAACGGCTTACTATACATGGTCGTTTTTTCGGCTAAAAACGCCTTACGATACATGGTCATTTTTTTCGGCGAAAAACGGCTTACTACACATCGTCGTTTTTTCGGCTGAAAACGCCTTACTATACATGGTCATTTTTTTTCGGCGAAAAATGCCTTACTATACATGGTCATTTTTTCGGTGAAAAACGCTGATTATACATGGTCGTTTTTTTCGGCTAAAAACACCTTATTATACATGGTCGTTTTTTTTGGTAAAAAACGCCTTCGTATACATTGTCGTTTTTTTTCGGCTAAAACCGCCTTACTATACACGGTCGTTTTTTCGGTAAAAAAACGCCTTAGTGTACATTGTCGTTTTTTTCGGTAAAAAACACCTTCCTATACATGGTCGTTTTTTTCGGCTAAAAACGCCTGACCATACATGGTCATTTTTTCGGTGAAAAACGCTGACGATACGTGGTCGTTTTTTCGGTTAAAAACGCCTTACTATACATGGTCGTTTTTTCGGTTAAAAACGTCTTACTATTTATACATTGTCGTTTTTTTCGGTGAAAAACGCTTCCTATGCATGGTCGTTTTTTCGGTGAAAAACACTTACTCTCCATGGTCATTTTTTCGGTTAAAAATGCTGACTATACTTGGTCGTTTTTTGGGGCTAAAAACTTCTTACTTTACATGGTCATTTTTTGGGGCTAAAAACGCCTTACTATACATGGTCGTTTTTTTGGTTAAAAACGCCTTACTATACATTGTCGTTTTTTTCGGTGAAAACGCTTCCTATGCATGGTCATTTTTTTGGTTAAAAACGCTTACTATACTTGGTTGTTTTTTTCAGCTAAAAACACCTGACTATACATGGTCGTTTTTCGGTGAAAAGCGCCTTACTATACATGGTCGTTTTTTCGGTAAAAAAACGCCTTAGTATAAATACATGGTCGTTTTTTTCAGTAAAAAACACCTTCCTATACATGGTCGTTTTTTTCGGCTAAAAACGCCTTACTATACATGGTCGTTTTTTTTGGCTCAAAACACCTGACCATACATGGTCATTTTTTCGGTGAAAAACGCTGACTATACATGGTCGTTTTTTCGGTTAAAAACGCCTTACTATACATGGTCGTTTTTTCGGTTAAAAACGTCTTACTATACATGGTCGTTTTTTCGTTTAAAAACGCCTGACAATACATGGTCGTTTTTTTGGTTAAAAACGCCTTCCTGTACATTGTCGTTTTTTTCGGTGAAAAACGCTTCCTATGCATGGTTGTTTTTTTCGGTGAAAAACACTCTCCATGGTCATTTTTTTGGTTAAAAACACTGACTATACTAGGTCGTTTTTTGGGGCTAAAAACGCCTTCCTATACATGGTCGTTTTTTCGGCTAAAAAGGCCTAACTATACATGGTCATTTTCTGGCCTAAAAACACAGCAAAGCCGTAGCTGGACTTGAACCACGCACCTCTGCAGCACAACTCCAACAAACTCACCATTCGACTACCAGGAAGTTAATGAGCATTCTTCGTTTTCATTATGTGTGAGTGTGAGCGCAAAGAGTTGGGCAGAGAAGAGCATCAGAAAATGGACTGCCACGCATATTTTGGAGAACACAAAGGAAGGCCATAGCCGGAATTGAACCTGCACCTCCGCAGCGCAACGCCTACGAATTAACCATTCGACTACCAGGCAGGTAACAAACACTCTACATTTTCCCTAGGTGTGAGTTTGAGCGCGAAGAGTTGTGCAGAGAAGATCAGAAAATGGACTGCCACGCATATTTTTGAGAAAACAAAGTACGGTCGGAGTCGGAATTGAACCTGCACAGCGCAACACCAACGAATTAACCATTCAACTACCAGGCAGGTAATGAACAGTCTATATTTTCCCTCGGTGTAAGTGTGAGCGTGAAGAAAAGTGTCAGAAAATGGACGGCCACAAATGTTTTTGGAAACCTGCGCAAGTGTGGGGAGAACGTGCAACTTCACACAGAAAGGCCAGAGCTGGAATCGAACCCTGCACCTCTGCATTGCGACAGACACGCACTAACCATTTGACTACCAGACAGGTCAGCAACACTCAACATTGTCCCTATACAGACGCTCCCCAGCTAACGAACGAGTGACGTTCCGAAGGATCCTTCGTTGACTGAACTCGTACGTAAGTTGCTTCAGTGCTATATTTTGTATGGAATGTATGTTTAAGGCTTATATAAGTATGTTTAAGATTTATATAAGTGTAATAAAATGAAGTTTAACTTACTTTTGGAAGATGTACTCGAAGGCTTAAGGAGATGATGGAGGGGGAGAGAGTTCCTCCTCCTCCTCCTCCTCCTCCTCCTCTCACAGCGCCACACGTCGGTTTTCGCGGCGGAAAGAAGTACTACAGTACTCGGAAAAAGGCGCGCAATACAAAATCCAACTGACAGCATCTCTGTCCGAGAACATTTTTCGACATACCTGTACCCGCAAAAATGTTCGTATGTACCATTGTTCGCAATACGAAAGTTCGTAAAGCGGGAAGCGCCTGTATAATACTTTTTTTTTTTTTAAAGAGACGATGGCTTGTGTTTGTGTGTGTGCGCGCGCCGCATAGGAAGGCGTTTATCACAACAAAAAAACGACCATGTATCATAAGGCATTTTTTGCAGCCAAAAAAAAAGACGACCACGTCTAGTAAGTTGGTTTTTTTTTCCCCAAGATGGCACCCGAGTCGGCAGCCGTCGGCAAGTGCTCTTCAAGAGCCTTGTTTTTTTTTGGGTTTTTTTTTGGTGGTTTTAGTGTTTTGTTTTGTCACATTGTGTTTGTTGTTCCGTCGTGTCGTGAATTGTTTTCAGCATTTTTTTGACCACGACATTCGTCTAAGGAGAAGAATCTGTGCTTGGTGGTTGCGCCTTCTCGGCAGCACGCGTGTACCAGCACTGATTTTGATTGGGAGGAATGTCAGCCCCATCTGGCTGTCGTTGCTGGACAGCCCCGGGGCGCTTGTGTTTTTTTGCGCCTGAAATAGGCAGCATTTTTCACAGCCCCGCTTTGTTCAGCGGGAATGTCGGGGCTGTTGGACAGTGTGCGGCTGGAAGGATGGATGGATGGTGGAGCCGTCGATGAGAAGAAAGGAGTGCCAGCGCAGAGCGCCGACGCATTTGTGGAACTGGGAGTCGCCGCTTGGAATTAAAGCGGATTTACATGAGACAGGAGATGTGAGCCAATCTATTTTTCGTCAATGGACGCAAAAGGTTTTTGTTTGCTTTCAAACTTAGCCTGTAGCAGACGCGTGCACATTTTCAGCATGACGTCTTTGATCCACTGGTGAAAGGACACTTTGATTCGCTCCTCTTTCATCTATAACTGCTTCAAACAACAAAGTGTATGTAGAAAAGTGGTTAAGATTGCACGACTGTCTGTGTCTTATGTGTTGTGTTGTATTATTTGTCATTTTATGTTAACTGTTCTTTTGATGGCGGCGCGGGCACCCACAGTGGCTCCTCTCTCTCTTGAGACACACGTAAGCACATTTGACAATTAAGTTGACATGAACATGAACGTAAGGCGTTTTTTTACAGCCAAAAAGGACAAAACGCCAAAAAAGAAGACCATGTATAGTAAGGTGTTTTTTACAGAAAAAAACAACCATGTATAGTAAGGCATTTATAGCCCCAAAAAAAAACAACCAACCATGTTATAGTAAGGCGTTTTTATCCGAAAAAAACGACCATGTGTGTATATATATAGTAAGGCGTTTTTGGCCCAAAAAAGACGACCATGTATAATAAGGCATTTTTAGCCCCCAAAAAAAACCAACCATGTTATAGTAAGGCGTTTTTATCCGAAAAAACGACCATGTATATAGTCAGGGGTTTTTAGCCCCCCAAAAATGACCATGTCTATAGTAAGGCGTTTGTAGCCCAAAAAAACGACCATGTATAGTAAGGCATTGTTAGCCCAAAAAAATAATGTATTCGAAGTTTCTACAAAATAAAAATGTCCCCCTCCCGGTTTATATTTTTCTTCAGGGGTAAACATATTAGACAGAGCTTGACAATGATTTGTTATCAGCTCCTTCCCAACTATAGTAGAACTATAAACTGAGGATTATATTACAAACTGAAAAAAAGCCAGAAAAATCCTCAATAAAATGTATAAGTTGAGTAAAACTTAAAGTGTATATATATTTTAAATCGCCCCAAAACAAACAAAACAAGAGATAGGATGCGCCCCCTCCCACACCCATGATTGATAGTTTTCGACAAGGATCCAAACTACACAACCCCGTGTGATACAATTGTGACTTTGCAAACGGACGCAGCAACAGCACCTTTTTTTCCTCCAAACATTTTGGTGTCACGAAAAGAAAACGGGAATCCCAAATGCAGATGATTATGTGAATTAGTCTCACCCTTCTCCAAGTGTAGATGTACGCTATGTCCATTAACGTGTAGTAATCTTTCAGGGGTTCATCTTCATACATCACTTCCACCTATGGACAAAACAAATAATTCAAAAGAGATATATTTCCAAAAGACGAAGAATATGATCAACATGTTAATTAAAAAAAATAAATAAATAAAACATTCAGAAATACAAGAAAAGACCTGGTAAGTGCTGGGGATGTCCATTTTGCTGCGCAGGAACTTCCTCAGATGCATGACGGTCATTGCCGCTGGACACTGCAGGTACCTTTTGTTTGCCATCTGCCCGAGAATTCGAGAGAAAGAAAAAGGAATGGGTTGCCTTTTCAAGTCGAAGCGAAAAATGTGCACACCTGATCTTTGCTTGAATGCTTGTCCTCAAGTCCACCAGTCAGTCTGCACAGAATCAAACGCATGCCGTTACTCGACAGCGCACGACACAAAAGTCACATACTGCAAATCGGGCGTGAGATGATCGAGGTCGAGGGGAGCAATTGGGAGGACAGTGGATTGGAAATTTGAAGGTCCTCTTACCTGGCACTCCGGTCAAAGAACTCAATGGAGAGGCTGATGATCTCATCGTCCGTGATTATTCTCTTGTCCTCATCTGCCACCTCGCCTCGGTCTTCGTTGGAGCCGTTAGAAGCTGCAGAGTAAAGAGGCGGCCACGACAAACAAAATACACCGGTTTTCCATTTGATTCCAAAGTATTATAAGCTGTCGAATCAAACGTCAAGGGGGTGGGATACCAGAAGTTACGCAATAGGATTGCAAGGAGGAATGATGTTGGAATTGTAAAATCTTCAATAGAACGGTGATTAAAACGGCGAGAAATGCAAAAAATGCATCCACGCAAATTTTCAAATGACTACAATTCTTTTTTAGGGTTGGGGGCAGGAGGGGGGCTCTCAGCTTCATTTCAATAGGTAGGTTGGCTTTATTTTTATATGTAGATTTATTTATTAAGCATCTTGATACACTCTGTGTGCAGCAACAAGTGCAGTCCACATGTTTACGTGTCAGCAATTCTTGCAACATGAAAGCTGAAGTGACAAAGCCACAGATTTGTCCTGATTGTGGTCATGTGATTGACAATTTCCTGATGCATGCTGACGCTAAGCTGGTTGTTTGGAATTTTGTGATGTGGTCATGAACAAAGTGTTTCGGAAGTTAACAATGCTTATTGAAGCAAATAAACTGTCTTTCATAGGAATGCGTGTTTATTTGCTTTTATTTTAGTGGAAACCGACAAAACATTTCTCTAGGATAAATCGGATATTGTTTATTTCAATACAGATTATTTATTGCACGTTTGGTTTAAAAAAATGCATGGGAGGAGGAGCGTGAAAAAAATAATTGCATATTAAATAACATGTAATATTGACAAGGGGGGTGGCAATGAGATCATTTTTCAAAATCGTTCAGCCCTACCGCTTAGCTTTGTGTGACTTTCAACTGAAGTCTCACCTTCCACAGGGTGTTCAGCATAAAAGTCTCTTCTCCTCTTCATTTCATCTGTCAGAGGAAAAATGGCTGATTAAAGGTGTGCTCACTGTCAACAATCGAAATCAAATTAAATGCACGTTGTGATGATGCAACAGTTACAAAAAAAGGTGCAAATTCCAACAACAGTTTCTCTTCATCTATTTCAGGCTTGTGTGTGTGCGCGAGCCAGTGCGTAAAATGTAGAACAAAGAAAATGCATCACTCGACTGTCAGGTTCTTACTTTTAAACAGGCCTGGGACCAGTTTATACACGATGTCCTGCAGAGTTTTGTCAGACCTGCACACATTTTGCACACATTGAAAGAAGGTCAAAAAAAAAGAGATGACGAGACGTTTGAGAAGAGGACGCTTCTCACCTAATGTTGAGCAGAGGCTTGGTTTTGTGCACTTGCACGTCACAGATTGGGCAATATTTGCTTGTTTCCAGGTATCGGACGATGCACATTTTGCAAACTGCAAGACAACCGAAATAGGTCTGGATCACCTGACAGCGCCAAGGGAATGCGCATGCGCCCCGCCGCTCGCGCGCCGGCATGCTTACAGGAGTGCAGACATTCGATGATGGTGGTGGCGTCGATGAAGTAACCCCCGCACAGAACGCACATGAGGTGAGGATTGAGCTCGGTAATCTTGATCCTCGTCGTCCGATGCATGATGAGCCAAAGGAGCTGATGGCGCGGAGACGTCAAAGGGGAAAAGAAAAAAGACCGAGCGACATTCAGAGCGCCGTTTGCACGAAGCCGGCCGTTTGCTTCACTTCCGTGAAAGCAACGTCATCTTTTATGCTAATTTCATCATAAGCGTCATAAATCTTCCTCACAAAGGCGTTCGTATACGTCGCCTTGCATTGCCTGCGCTACTTTCAAAGGGCGCGGGAGTAACCGCTTACAAGAAAAGCTTCCACAAACAATTTCCACGCAGGCAGATCGATTTTTTTTTTTTTTTGCCCAACTGCTTTGCAATGCAAACGACACGTCATGAGTTATAGCAACTATTCTAACTCGTCATTTTTACACAGTCAAATGTGGAGCGTGAGGGGGTGCGCGTCTCACCTCAGGTGTTGGGGCGAATCCCACTGTGTTTCTATGGCAACCACTTTTGCCGATTTTCGAGTGGGCGCTCGAATAACAAGATAGGCGATTCATTGAAAAATTAAAGCGCGCGCGCGCAAGGCGAGTTGGATGCGTGACACCCGAGAGGGGAGCGCACATATCCGCACGCACACGCGGAGCCGCGGCGTGGAATCTGCGCGCCGCGTGCATGCCGACTGCGGCGCTGCCATTTTGTGCTGGGAAACAAAATAAACCCGCTTCGGCTTCTCCCGCGTCCGCGTTGGTGTCAGATGTAGACTGCTCAAGGGTCGCGTCAGTCTTACCGGGACGCGCTAAATGAGCTTGCTTCTTCCAGCAATTTCCCAACTGAAATCCAATTTAGCAAATTTTTTGTGAATGACAAACATCAGTCCTTCTCATTGAGAAGTGCATATATATATATTTTTTTTTAAATTGTATTTATTTATTTTTTTGCAGAAATATTGGACATTTTCCGACCCAGAAAGCGCTGACGAAATTCTTGCTCTTATTTCTCAGATCAAGACAAGAGGAGCACGCAGGATTCATGCAACACGCCCAAAAGTGCGCCTATACTTGAGAACCAACAAAACAAGATTTGGAGCGTCAAGGGATCCAAAGGGCGTTCGCGCGGACTTGATCACATCAACTTTTTGAGCGAAGAACGAATAAAGCGAGTGGGTGCCGAAGATTTTTGGAAGGACTGACGGCACATTTACACGCTGTTATTTTTCTCCCGAACTCGTAAAAAAGAGCAAATAAATATTTAACATCGAGAGAAACAAAAAGCGGCACATCATCGAAGCAAACAGGATAGATTTTTGCTGTTTTGATGCATTTATAATGTGTGGTCGTCCTGCGACCCCCCCAGAGTACGTGACAGGCTCCACGACGGCATTGACAGACATGTCAATTCTGTCGCGGCTACACTTCCCCAAAATCGGTGAACATGCGAATATTCCTAATTACGTTTAATTGCAACAAATGAGCAGCCCGCGCTGGATCCGAGCCACGGAACTCCAAAAGGAATCCCTGATGATTTTGCCAGCTCCGCCAAACAAACAAGCGGCCTTTTGTAAAGCTGCAGCATTCCTTTATGTATTGATTTATTTGATTTCTTTCGAAGGTATCCACCAAATTAAGCAAACCAGCCGTTCGGACGCACGGGGGTCACCCGAACCGATGCGAACAAAAGCAGACGGTTCCGAACCTTCTGAAGGATGAACGGCGCATGCACACTTGCTTTGACCGAGTAGTCATCCAAGTTAAGTTAATAACTCGAGAATGATGTCACAGACATGTACAAAGGCGACCGCGTCTCGTGCACAAGCTCCCAAAGGTGACATTTCTATAAAATGAGGAGGCTCCGAACAAACGCGCCCCGTTAGGAGGCTCCGAACGTCTCGATCGTGCTAACATCTCCACCGAGTCCGTCGCGCGTTACCCGCGAACTGCCACATTACACGAACAAAAAAGCACGCTAAACAATCCCGATCCGGCATCAAGTCGCCCCGACGCAATGCCCGCAGACACACCGTGGAAGCCCGCTTGTGGCCGTGAATTCAATCGGCTTTGAACCCGAGCTGGGAACCTCTTTTCACCGAGCGATCCCTCAGAAAGTGCGCAGACACACACGGAGCTCCACGTCGGTTGTTGCTCGCCGCACCGACGAAAGCCTCAACATCCGCCGCTGGATCGGCGCGGTGGGGGAGCCGCGAAAAGATCCGCGACACAACCGCGCGGGGTGCCGCTTCGAGGCTGCGGCGACGCCGGAAGCACGTACCTGCGTGCCGGGATCGGCTGGCTGAGGCTGGGGGGCGGACAGACAATGAAAGTTGGGAGGCGAATCAGCAGCGAATGAATCGCAGCCGAGCCGCCATCTTGAAGCAGGCTGCAGACGCTGTCAGTGGCCGAGGCGAGCGCATTTCACACGGGAGACGCGAACGCCGCCCTCCGCGGGCAAACGCGCACTTTGCGAGCGTGTCCGATCGGCGCTGGCACCCCGAGCCGAAGTCCTCCGGCGTCGCCTGGGTCCGGTCGGCACTTAGCTACTGCAACTTTGCCTCCAAAATACCCACTTGGCCCCCTCCTCCTGAGTGGAAAGCAGCAGCGGTAGTGTGTGCGTGTGCGAGTGCGCGTGCGCGCGCGCTCTCTCCGTGGAAACTGACACCGTCCCCAAAATGGCTTGTACTTGGACCGCCCCGCTTCGGTCACGTGAGCCTCTGCTTAAGGGAGCTTGGAAATTACTGTCGGCCGTTTTTTTTTTTTTTTGGTCTTGCTCTTTTCCCGAGGAATAAAGCAGCGAAAATGAACCACCGCGCGTCACGTTACGCATGGGAAAACGCATTTGGCTGGTTGTGTGTTTTTCAACCCGAAAGGACACTTTTACCGGCGTATCAAACTAGTAATAATCGCGCTTTGGTGTGTGACGTCCTGTTTTGTTTAGTTTTGAATGACGCATGACTAAAACATTTTGAACATACGAGATAAACAAATCAACTTTACGCAATAACGTCTGAGTGGATTTGTTGAACAATGATAACACTATGTTCTTGTCGTTACGCTTCGCGGAAGGTTCAGGTAGCCGCATGGTGTCGGAGCTTGTGTCACTTGCTCGTGAAACTTTGACAAGAAGCAGGGGATGAAATCCCGGACGCAGGACCACCGAGCTCCGTCCCCAAAGCAGCTTGAACGTCACTCACGAGTCCACGCTCGTCGCGAACACGGGGTGGGGTGCATCGATCGCACGAATTCAAATGAAATCACACAGACGGGGGAAGAATTATGACTTTTATTTTTTCAAAACACAACGAGGCTAAAAACATGCAGATGAAGTGCTGGAAAACATCATCATCGTCATCATCACATCTGACTGGCTTTCTCTGCGCTCTTGGCTGCGTCCTTCAGCTTGCCAACCATGTCCTGGTGATGGGAAAAAAAGGAAAAGGGGCGGGGGGGGGGGCATCTATCGCTTTTAAATAGAATACAAACAGGGCAGGGTGCAGATCTGTTGCAAGTGCCATGAAGCCAGAGGAAAAAGTGGCACTAAACGAGCTTTGCAATGAGTTACTTTTTTTTTTTTTTCTGGAACAAGTGAAGCGGTTTAAGGCGGACTGTTTCGTTCCGGTGCATACCTGTAACTGCTCCATGGTGCAGGTGAAGGTAATATCCTCGGGACTACCTTTATTCTAACCAAAAACACCAACATTTCATTATTGCTCACGTAAAAAAAAATTGACAACACATGAGATGCATGTTTGTTTGTTTCATTACCTCCGTGTTGAGCGATATTAAGTAGAAAGGCTCGTTGACCTTGTCGACCACTCCATTCTGCCGTGGGATAAAGCAACAGTGTGACATGGTCGTCGATCCCCCCCCCCCATTATTTGTATCAAATCGAGAGGCAAAATACTTGGTCGCATACCTTGACATGATATTGGAGGCGCCATGACACGTCAGTAATGTGAGCTGGTTGCTTTCCAATGCTATGAAAACGTACAAATATTAATAGGACGATGCGCTTTGAAAGCCATCACTCCCTCATTTGCATTATTGATCAAGACATATAGTCTTATTGATTGATGGTTCCTATAGACTTAACAGACATTGACAGATAAGTTGTCATGAAAAACGCAGGCAGACATGAAAGAAAAGATTGAAACAATCAGTCATACTGGATGTAGATGGTATTTTATGCTTCATTTGAATAACTAAAAAAAAAAAAAAAAAAGATGAAACAGCTACAAATCTCTCTCAACAGCGACATACAGTATAAATGTGCAAACATAACCGTAATAGGGGAGACCTGCAGCTTGACGTCACACTCTTTGCACATTTTTATCATTTTGGAATCAAATACATCATGTATCAACACGTGTACCGGATAAAAGACCAAATTCTCATTGATTTTGTGCTGACGTCAGTTTCATATTTTGTGTTCATACAGTCATTAGCAATCAAATGGATAGTTGTGTTGCCACACCTTCGCGTAAGTTGTCTCACGAAATGGTGTCAGGTGTTACAGTGGATTTTGCAACTGATAGTTCAAGGACAAAATTATTGCTGTTTTCTTTACCTTCTTGGAACTGAAAAGTCAAGATTCTTGAATGGAAAAAAAAAAATAAACCATCATCAAACTCAAAACATTCTTTGCATGTGACTGAGACATGTTGCCCCAAATGACCACATTTGCTCATACTGGCGCTAGTTTAAAGTTAGCCAAAACAGAACAATGATTGAGCTATGACAAGTCCGAATCTCTCCTGTAGCAAGTCCACATTGATTACTGTCCAATGATTTTTATCTGGAAGATGCTAGTTTCAAAAAAACGTTTTGTGAGTGTGTGTGTGTGTGTGTGTGTGTGTGTGTGTGTGTGTGTGTGTGTGTGTGTGTGTGTGTTATTTGCAAGGCCACGAAACATGTGTTCAGATCTGGATGATGCAGTTCGACCTCCTTGAACCACCAAAACAACAATTTGCTCTCTTCACCCATCACTGGTGCCCTGCCACGAGCTGGCGACAGTGCAGGGCGTACGCCGCTGCCATTTGCCCAGTCAGCCGGTATCGGCTTCGGCTCATCCGGACCCTGACCCCAATGAGGATAAGCCGTGTCGAAAATGCGTGGACGAATCTTTCTATGGCTTACCTTGCCAACAATCGTTCTAACTCCTTTTTGTGCTTCTGTGAAGAAAACAGAGAAGATAAAATACAAGGTATGCAAGGCAATGATGAGGAAATGATGTGCTCGTCACCTGATAGCAGCTATAGAGGATTTCGATTCTTTCCGAACTGAACGACAGATCCTCGAGGCAGGAGCTACAGGGAGAAAACGATACTTAAATATATGTAAATTTATGATTGAACGTCTGACCATGAAATTGAGTTCATTTAATTCAGATTTGGCCACATAGAGTTAGTTATCACACTCCAAAGGATGACAGGAGTGTAGAAATAACAAAAGTGCATTCCCTGAATACACAAGTTTCATACATTTGCTGTGTGAAGCGCACTTTCTTAACTACTTACGCACAGACAAAATCAGCTATTGATCGGCTTCGGATTCAATGGTCTATTCACATTCCACGCCACGCTGTCACCAGAATGATTCCACAGTCAATCAGATCAGATGGAGAGCTCTTTTGGGCGTAGTGTGTTCATTTATCTGCCACGTTTACCTGATCGTGGACTCATCTGCATTTTGCCTGACCGCCTCCAGGATGAATGTGGTGGTCGCGGCGTGTATCCGTTTCAGCAGGACCCCCTCAACCTGCTTCAGTTCGGGCTCCTCTGACAGGACAGAACCCGGAAGCGGGACGTGACGTCAACAACAACAACGAGCAGACTGACGACAAAAGACGGTTACGCTGCAGTGAGATGCAGGTCGGAGCTCCCCTCGCACTGACTGACGTCCAGAATGGAAATCACTGATGATTTGCATGCGTAAAATCCTTCAGCTGCAGCACCCAAACCGTGTGGAGGGGGAGTTTTGTTTGTGTGGATTGAAAACATTTGGCGCCGCTGGAACGCTAATTTGAAATCGATGCATGCATGCTTGCACCCCCCCCAAAAAAAAACACAAACAAATTGGATTCACAGCGACCGATCTGGACTGTCGATTTGTGACTGTTCACACCGATTTCCGGGTTTGAATCCCATTCATGTAACGCGAGTCACATACACGCAGCTTAACATGGAGGGGTCTCCTCTGAGCGAGAAGCGGTGGGAGACAAAGAGTGTCTCGCAGCTCACCCAGCAACCCCGCGTCTCGACCGGCAGACAGCAGAGAGCGGAAGCAGACGTCGACCAGAGCCGGGAAGGTGGCGTGGTCCACGACGGACTCGTCGCCGAGAGACCGGAGCCCTCTCTGCACGGAATCCGACAACTCCATTTTGAGGGAGGGCGGGGCCATAGAGACACGTGACGGATCAGCTGACAGGCTACTTGTGGGGTTGGGGTGCGGGGCTACAGCGATCACATGCCGGGGAATCCGATGCTGCGGCTCTTTAGTTCAAACAAATAAAAACATATGGACATTACAATATAAGTCTTTCCACTTCTGCCTGACATTTCCGAGGTTGAGGATTCGAATCTCACCAGGAATACTCATTGAGGATAAGCAGTTTAGCAAATGGATAGATCAGTTTTGCAACTCTACATGAACACCTAAAAACACTCCAGAGACTTTATTTGCTACACCTGCCAATGGCGTGTCATAGAAAAGCTGTTAGATTATAAAATGTCCTTCACTATGGAAGCACGTACGGCATTTTAAAAATACTAACCAAAATGTGAGATGATGTGACCCCCCCCCCCTTCTCAGCAACAGATCACGTGTAGTTAAGATTTAAGTGATGGTATATATATTCTCTTTTTTTTGGGGGGGGGGCGCGCACTCTCCATCATACTTACGGACAAAGGTGTCAAATCCATGTCCAGAGAGTAGAACCCCTTCCACAGTTTGGCTTCACGCACAGGTGCCTCAACTCAACCAGGTGACGTCTGTCGGTAGAATACACATCAAACTACAGTCACACAAATACACTCGTTGTTCAAAATCATACCAATAAAAGCGTAGAATAAATATATTCATAAAGTTGAGCATTTGTTGTGGGAGCGTCGTCCTGCCCGTGCGAGTTCCTACGACATGTGAACGTGACATGCTATGCTCTTGAGCAGTATACCGTGTCATATTTTTCACATGACAAGCTCTATATTAAAAAACAAAAAGTCACATGCTCAGGGAGAGTGAAGAGGTGGGGCTTGCAGTCAAAAAGTGGCGCGGTCTGGATGACAAACGGCTTGCGAGCGAAGCTGATCAATTGAGAAATTTCCAGTGCATCTTGTTGCAGTTTCCATCTTGAGAGCTATTTCATCAGGCGGAGTTAGGGAGGTCCCGAAACGCTTCATGTCCTCAATTTACCATACAACGGAATGAAATGCATGGAATGGCTGTGTTAAGGAAAAAAAAAGGCTGGAAGACTGACCTCAAAATGGAAATTCCCTTTTCTGCATGATGTTCTTCCTTAACTAATCGAGTGAGCGTTTAACTTGTTTATAAAGTTGTAGATTCCCCAAAATAATTCTTAGTTGCTAAATCTGCACGCTGTAATGATGTCTTAGTCCACGAGCTGTTGGTGTGATCTGCACCTTCAGAGCTTTGTCCAAAGTTCAATTTTTGCTCTTTTGACTTCGCCCACATCTCCACCGGTGTTTTATTTTCACGTCTTCTCAGCTTTCTGCTGAGTGCGCCCGCAAACACGATTGATTTGTAAACAAAAGAGACACGCTCCCATTCGCGCGACACATCGCTATTCTTAAATGATTCTTCATTAATTTTAAAACAAAAACGTGCAACGTTGTCCTAAGCGTGAGGGCAAATGACGGTGAGATGAGCGTGGACTATAATTGAGGCCAATAAAAAGATGACTGCCCTTCTCCGAAATCAAAAAGGTAAGCTGCGAGCCTTTTATACGAGGCACTGAATTTAAGCACTAATAAAAAAAATATATTTCATTAGGCCATGATGTCATTCTGTTACTGACAGTAGGCCAAAAAAACCCTCGAGTGTTTTGAGTTAATGAGATAATGCCATCATAAATAAACGATGGGTTGTGCAAACAGATTATTGAAAAATATATTTTGATCATATATTTTTATTTATTGTCCTGTGACAATTGTTCACACCAAAAAAAAAAAGGTGGAAATGGGGTTTGAACGCAGCAGTGGCATTTACGAAGTAGAATGACAGTTTGTCGACGTGTTCCTGTTTTGTCATTTAGTGTAGTATCGACTTCTCACTTCGAACGTGGCTATTTCATTTCAATCCATTTGACTTTAGTTTCTCATCTCCATCAACAATGTATACTGACGAAAGGGCGAATTATACTTGCAAAAAAAATGGTATGCTACTCTATGGTCTGTATTTTATTTTCTTTGGCCATACACTCACTACTAAATAATCTACTAAACATAGAGATACTAAATCCGATTTTTATTGTCGAGTGCAGTGATCACGGCAGGCTACTGGAAATGTTTCCACCTCTCTAAGGGGAAACCAAATGATTCGAAAGAGCTCCTCTACGCCACTGCATAGACCACAACGCCACACACACGCCCAGACGCAACAAACGCACTGTCACATTTAGCAAGTCTTTAAACGAATAACCAATCGCTAAGAGCACTTCTAATAATAGGCTAAGCGAAATTGAATCCACCAGGAGTACAGAAAAAAAATTCATGAGTTTACGACGGAGCTCCGTTCCTACAGCAGCGGCATAACAACAAGGCTGTAATTTTGCACTAAAGTAGGCGAACATGTAATCGCTGTAATTTGAGAAAAATATGTCATCAATATAAATCACTAATACAGGTGGGAAAAGTACATTTGGTAGGCAACACACGTGATGTTGTGTGTCTTTTATGCTGCCTGCGTGCCATTTCATGTAAAGCGCTTGTTGCGTCAAATGTGCAAACGGCGATTTGAAAGATGACATAATAATGAGCATCTTGGCTGTCAAGGCCCCATTGACGAGGTTAGGACTAATTCAAACATGTCTCGCAAGCCTTTAGGATATGGCTCGGTGACATTCTTCGTGATCATGTGATGATATAAGGAAGACACCATCCCGGAGGTCAGCCCGGGGTCATCGTCTTGCTCAAGAACGCGCTGTGGATGAGCCCGAAAAGATGGCGAGCGAGCTAGACAGATAGAACATGAGGAATACTCCATTGAGAGATCGCTCAACCAGCAAGTGAAAAAGAAAAGGAAAATGAAAGTGAAGGAAATGAGACCAAAATCAAAGCAGGAAGAGTAAAGATACAGTTGTTGCCCCTATTGCCCTACATTCATGAATAAATGTAGCCCAATTATACAACAACAGAATTTGTCCAAGAGGGAAGTCGATGCGAGCGATATGACATATTGATGACACAACCAATGGGTAGTGTGTGAAAAAAATATTTTAATGTGCATATAGCGTGCGTGCATGATATTGCACTTTGAAGTCGTATTCGAGCAATGACTACAATTAAGATGCGTAGTATAAACAGGGGTGTGAACTGCTGAACAGTGTCATATTTTGGGGACATTGGGAATAGCGGATGTCGAAACATTTCGGTGTGCTCTGGGCTGGAGGAAGCGCGCACTGACGTGAACTCGAGTGGGCGCCAGGTGGCAGTGTTGGGTGTGTCATGAGATCTGAGGGGAACAAAGAAGTCAGGGAATGAAGAAGGGGCTGAAGCTTTGTTTTTGACGAGACCTCAATTCATGCTTATACGTCTCATATATTATTGGACATTTGTCAGTAACCACCTCCCTCGGTATTTCCTTTTTTTTTCAGCCTGAAAGGCAATTGAATGTTGTTTCGGATCATTAGAATTGGGCTCGATGGTTATGGATGAGGTCAGTCAACAACATATTGCCCGTTGGAGACCATCAAAGCCTTTTGCATTCAATGCGATTGTCACGACAGTCCAACGATTTGTCATCATCTCCAACAAATGATACATGCCTTAAAAATGGACAGAACGTGGAACAATTACCCGGAGGTGTAAACTGTTTGCCATTTCTTTGTGCTCGATAAAAATCCACTGTTTACGCTGTATAATGTATCCAATATAAAATAATGTTAGTATACTTTACATTTAGGTATTTCATGATTTAAAATTTGTATTACTTCTTATTTTGTTGTTTAGTATTGTCTTCGATGGTGTTAGGTTGCACGTCTGATTTTTTTTTTTTTTTTGAATGGACTCATAAGAATTTTCCTCTCCATCAGATTGAACAAGAGAACAAAAACGTTAAATTACATCCAAAATACTGTGCGCGAGTGTGTATTTAATTACATATATTTATTTAGTTAGTTAGTCAGTCGGCGTGCGTGTTTGTCGGAGCCAGCAGCAGAGCACAGCCGGCAGTTCCTGCTCCACTGTGCCGGGGAAAAGCAGCTTCCTGCCGGTCGTCGCTGCGCCCCGCGGCCGCGGAAAGTCGCTCGATCCTCGGCCGGACACCCGCCGAAGGATCGGTTATTGTTGACGCCGAAACCGACCAACTGACAGCGGAGGAACACGCCGGCGTGTTCGTGCGCGCATCCGCGGACCAAACGTCTTATTGAATACGTGCAGCGTTCGCTCGTTTTCCCCCAAGTCGACGCCATATTCTCGCACGTCGCCCTTCAGTTTGCGGTATGCCTGCTTCACCGCCTCAAGTTCCGCCCAACGGTCCGCCTTTTGTTGGGGTCTCGATGCACCCAAAGTTCAATTCGATCTGTTCAATGTGCTGCAATCATCACGTTTAGGAGACTCCAAATGTTACGTTCAAATGGTGCCTGTCCACGGGTGAAAACCTCAGACAGTGTGCGCTTTGTAAAATGAAATTCAGCTCTAGAAATTACGTGTGTGTGTGTGTGTGTGTGTGTGTGTGTGTGTGGTTGATTTTATGATAAACGTATGTCAAGATGCAATTCTCTCTCTCTCTCTCTCTCTCTCTCTCTCTCTCTCTCTCTCTCTCTCTCTCTCTCTCTCTCTCTATATATATATATATATATATATATATGTGTGTGTGATTTAATGTGTAAGAACTCGTAAAAAGTCTTATAAATATATAAAATGAAATTTAAAAAACTATTTACATATGTATATGCAGTATGTGTGTGTAATATATATATGTATGTCTATATATATATATATATATATATATATATATATATAGACATACATACATATACACACACACATGCGCACACGCATATAAATGCACATAGATATACACACATACAGTCAATTCATATGTAATACATAGACACATAAATATCTACGCATATACGTATTACCATATACATACATAAATATATATACACACACACACACACACACACTTTTATACTTCATACATGCACATAGGTACACATAGACTCTGTAAATATATACCCCCCCTCACACACACACACACACACACACACACACACACACACACACACACACACACACACACACACACACAAAGTGAGGGAAAGATCAGCAAGCCTAAATTAGAAACACTTTACAATCAGGCACTGCAACGGACGGCCCGAGGCTTCCTGGTTTCTGTCTACTCAAGTGGGATTGGGGAGGGAGTTCTTAACCCTGGATCAACTTTCATGTGTGTACTCCCAAAGAAGGATGTCCCTTTGTTCCATCAAGGCCTTCCTTGGTCCTACGTGAGCAAAATTGACGACACATGACCATTTCGGACAGATTCACCTCCAAGAGGACACTGAGATCTTTTGGCAATTTAGTGGAGAGTCATGCCAAAAAAAAAAAAAAGTTCAATAAAACTTACTTTTGTTTTTGAATGTGTTTTTCTTTTTTCCACGAACCAAAATTGTTATTATCAGAGCAATTACTGGTTACTTTCATAGAATCCTTGAAAATGTTCCCAAGAACAGGTTCAATTGCTGTAGCCGTGAGTCAATTTGACATTATTTTTGATTATTGTTGCGTTTTCTTTTTTGGAGCAAAATCCAAGGAAATCCTTAAGAGAACAATCTCCAGAGCTTTTGTGTTTGTTTTCCGGCAGTTCAATCATGTTACTTTTGGGATGATATTAAAAAAAAAAACTAAGGCAGAAGTAAATCAAGCAAATTTATTGTCTAAACCACACATCTGTTTTGGTTTGTTTACAAGTGCAATTTTTGGGTTTGTAGTTACAAGTGCAATGCCTTTCATTTTGTTTGAAATCATCGGAATTCTTGGAAAAGCACCAAGCGGGCAGCTAAGTGTTCAACTAGTCACTTTTGTATGAAATCCCGAGAAATTCCATGTTCGTATGTTCTGTGTTCCAACTAGATGGAGATTTTTTTTTCCTGTACTGTTGAATGGACTCCATTTTATTTCGTCAGGTGGCTGCGCAAAACCAAATGGCGGACGTCGAGTCAACTTAAAATATGTGCCTGGAGCCAGATGATTTTATTCCGTGCAAGCACTTGGTGAAGTAAGACGGAGTAAATCCAACCCCAAACTTGTTGGAGGGGATATCTTGGGTCAGAACCAAAGTGCACAGAATTAGCGTGTGGTTAACACGCGACGCATTCAAGTTGATGCTTGTGAATCGTTGGAGGGCTTTCAGATGGCTGCGCCACACGTGCAAGTTTCTTTCCTAAACGGAAGACAAATATGGCCACCGGTGTGGAAAGAAAAGGGCGAAAAGTGTCAATCTTCACCTGACTGGGAGCCTATTATCGGGTGAGAGAAGAGACACAAATGCCCGCCAGAGCGAGCGGGGAACGCAACCAGTAGCCGCGAGGGAGAGGGAACGTGCGAGGCGGCGTCCGTCCCATTCGCCGTCGTGATTAGTGGCCATTATTATCCAGGCTGCGCGGCCATCGCACTGGATTATTCCGCAGTGAATCGACACGCTGCCGCTTGAGCGATGAGCGCTTTCCCGTGCGCGCTGGAACAAACAGCAAGTCTGATTTCATTTCCGAGCCTTTCTGTCATGCCTTCCATTGATTGGCTGCTGTGCTTTCGACTAGAACCTCTCCTTTGTCAAGACCACCCTGCTTTATTTCTCGGGCTCTTTACTCCTTTGTTGCACTGTGCAGCGATGCAGTCTGGGGGCTGGAGGTGGGGGGGGGGCAGACCTCCATTTGACATCTACGTGCATTTGTATGTACCAGTGTCCATGTGCTCGTCTGTAAGACTCGGGGCGCGGCGGCAAGCTGCATTCTGATCCATACTAATGTTCATTGATAGGAAAATCAATGGCACATTGATGCGGGTCTTGGCTCTCGCAAGGGGGAGGAAGTGCGAATACGACGGTGAAGACACCAAGAATGAGGAAGCAAAGGATTAGGCGGCGACAAAACAAAACCAGAGAAATCCCGCAGGCTTCTCTTCTGCGTGTTCACCAACGTCCGAGTTGAGATCCAAACCGAGGCGCACAAGTACAAGTGCGACCAAACTATTCTCATTTTCTCCAACTGCTCTCGAGATCGCACAAACAAGCCTCAAATGGAACCTTGGAAGAGAGAAAAAAGGAGGACTGCAAGGGGAAAATCAATTTTCCCAGAGAGATGCCAGTTGCTCTAATGGAGCTTTGAAAGAGGAAGTGGAGGAGGAGGGTGGGTGTGGGGGGGGGGTGGACATCTTTTTCCTCTTATTACCTCCCGTAGCCTCCTTGGCCAGCCTTCAAAGCTAGCATCGCTGCAACGGACTCGCTCGTCTGACCTTTCTCGGAGCAGTCGAGATGCTCCTTCCACTCACCACCATTCAGACGCAGGCCCGCTCCAGAAAGTCCGTCAAGGTTGCGCCTAAATGTGGTACCGAGGTCAAAAACAACAACTCCTCGGTCCCCACCTGACCTTTTGGAGATGGAACTTGCTGCTATCTCCGAAAACAGCAAACACTTTCCATTTGGCAAAGATGACTCACTTATGAGGCATGATAAAAAAAAAATTAAAAAAAATGTCATTACGGCAAACAGTGAGAATGCCGTTGTGTGTCACACAATGTTCAATTTCTTGAGTCATGCTTCATCATTCATCAAGTGGACATTGGACGTCACGCTGAAAAACATCTGCAAAGGTTTCTTCCATCGACTCAACTCAACTCAGCTGTGTTCCTCGAGCGCTTGAAAACAACCACCGCTGTACACAAAGCGCCCGACAGGGAGCAAAAAGAATTCATACAACCAACAATAAAACAAGAAATGAATAACGACGACAGTAGAAAGCACAAAAACAGTCCAAAACTCCAAAGCAAGTCTCATGCCTGCCGAGTCAAAAGTCAAAGAATACAAATGAGTTTTGAGACGACTCTTAAAGATGGGCGGCGAGGGGGCTTGGTTCTCGCGACCTCTAATGGAGCGCCCGGTCGGCAGACCCGAGGCGGCGGGCGGGAGATCCGAGGGGCAAGGGGGGGCCAGGCCATTTCAAGACTTGAAAACAAATCGGAGGATCTTCCAAAGAAGTCTTAAAAGAGCCGGTGAAGGGATGCCGGAGCAGGAGTGACGCGCTCTCTCTTATTCCAAGGAAGAAACCGTTTGCTCGTCCCGTCTTTGTATGATTTTCTTCTAAATGATGGCTTGCTGTGACAATGAGCGAAAAAAAGCCGGGGTTTTTTTTGTTGTTGTTGTTTTTGTGGAGGGTGCTCACAACTGCAACCTACTTACGACGATGTCGAAAGAAAAGGAGGTCCAAGGCATGTGGCCGGAAGCAAGAAAAGCTCGTGTCGCTTTCATCATGCAGCAACTTTGCTTTGGAAACTGGAAAGCTTGTCAATGTCATTCGATTTGACCAAAGGGTGACTATTTTCTTCTTCCTACGGCCTCTCCTCTGGCTCTTTGTGTTCTCCTTCTCTCGGGCTCCTCTCTGGCATCTCTTCTCTCCGGGCCCAGGAGGTGAAAGTGGCTTCCATGGTAACGGCACACACTGTTTTTGCCACCACCTCTCACTTCATCACAAGCTGTCGATGGCTGTGATTTGCATGCACGGACCCTCCCACCCTGCGCTGGTGCCACAGGCCCCCACGTCCTCAGGTATTTTATGTCGGACGCAATTAGCATCGCTTACGACTATCATACGCTCCCACTTGATGGATTTGCCTGTAAGACTCGGGGCGCGGCGGCAAGCTGCATTCTGATCCATACTAATGTTCATTGATAGGAAAATCAATGGCACATTGATGCGGGTCTTGGCTCTCGCAAGGGGGAGGAAGTGCGAATACGACGGTGAAGACACCAAGAATGAGGAAGCAAAGGATTAGGCGGCGACAAAACAAAACCAGAGAAATCCCGCAGGCTTCTCTTCTGCGTGTTCACCAACGTCCGAGTTGAGATCCAAACCGAGGCGCACAAGTACAAGTGCGACCAAACTATTCTCATTTTCTCCAACTGCTCTCGAGATCGCACAAACAAGCCTCAAATGGAACCTTGGAAGAGAGAAAAAAGGAGGACTGCAAGGGGAAAATCAATTTTCCCAGAGAGATGCCAGTTGCTCTAATGGAGCTTTGAAAGAGGAAGTGGAGGAGGAGGGTGGGTGTGGGGGGGGGGTGGACATCTTTTTCCTCTTATTACCTCCCGTAGCCTCCTTGGCCAGCCTTCAAAGCTAGCATCGCTGCAACGGACTCGCTCGTCTGACCTTTCTCGGAGCAGTCGAGATGCTCCTTCCACTCACCACCATTCAGACGCAGGCCCGCTCCAGAAAGTCCGTCAAGGTTGCGCCTAAATGTGGTACCGAGGTCAAAAACAACAACTCCTCGGTCCCCACCTGACCTTTTGGAGATGGAACTTGCTGCTATCTCCGAAAACAGCAAACACTTTCCATTTGGCAAAGATGACTCACTTATGAGGCATGATAAAAAAAAAATTAAAAAAAATGTCATTACGGCAAACAGTGAGAATGCCGTTGTGTGTCACACAATGTTCAATTTCTTGAGTCATGCTTCATCATTCATCAAGTGGACATTGGACGTCACGCTGAAAAACATCTGCAAAGGTTTCTTCCATCGACTCAACTCAACTCAGCTGTGTTCCTCGAGCGCTTGAAAACAACCACCGCTGTACACAAAGCGCCCGACAGGGAGCAAAAAGAATTCATACAACCAACAATAAAACAAGAAATGAATAACGACGACAGTAGAAAGCACAAAAACAGTCCAAAACTCCAAAGCAAGTCTCATGCCTGCCGAGTCAAAAGTCAAAGAATACAAATGAGTTTTGAGACGACTCTTAAAGATGGGCGGCGAGGGGGCTTGGTTCTCGCGACCTCTAATGGAGCGCCCGGTCGGCAGACCCGAGGCGGCGGGCGGGAGATCCGAGGGGCAAGGTGGGGCCAGGCCATTTCAAGACTTGAAAACAAATCGGAGGATCTTCCAAAGAAGTCTTAAAAGAGCCGGTGAAGGGATGCCGGAGCAGGAGTGACGCGCTCTCTCTTATTCCAAGGAAGAAACCGTTTGCTCGTCCCGTCTTTGTATGATTTTCTTCTAAATGATGGCTTGCTGTGACAATGAGCGAAAAAAAGCCGGGTTTTTTTTGTTGTTGTTGTTTTTGTGGAGGGTGCTCACAACTGCAACCTACTTACGACGATGTCGAAAGAAAAGGAGGTCCAAGGCATGTGGCCGGAAGCAAGAAAAGCTCGTGTCGCTTTCATCATGCAGCAACTTTGCTTTGGAAACTGGAAAGCTTGTCAATGTCATTCGATTTGACCAAAGGGTGACTATTTTCTTCTTCCTACGGCCTCTCCTCTGGCTCTTTGTGTTCTCCTTCTCTCGGGCTCCTCTCTGGCATCTCTTCTCTCCGGGCCCAGGAGGTGAAAGTGGCTTCCATGGTAACGGCACACACTGTTTTTGCCACCACCTCTCACTTCATCACAAGCTGTCGATGGCTGTGATTTGCATGCACGGACCCTCCCACCCTGCGCTGGTGCCACAGGCCCCCACGTCCTCAGGTATTTTATGTCGGACGCAATTAGCATCGCTTACGACTATCATACGCTCCCACTTGATGGATTTGCATCCCGCCCCTCTCGTAAGCTGCTTGCGGTTCACCACAGCTTTTGAAAAAAAAATCTTCATAAGGTTCATATTCAACCCTGAATATTTGTATATTTATATGTTCGTGTCATCACACCCCGGCTCCGCAAACCAATCCCAATCGACACTTTAACCGCCGACATATCGAACAGAATGATGATGGCTTCTTTTGACCTCAAGCAGCCTCCACCAATTAGCAAAGTGTGTATGCGTGTGTGGAGCGAGAGGGGGAGGGAGTGTTTGGGCCAGTCGGACCTCCTGCAGGGCAAAACGGGTGGGGTGGGAGGGCCCGGATGAGGAGATGACACGTTTTATGTCCTGTAGATTCCATACCAGGAAATCCATGAGGGCCGGGGGCCTCGTTGGGGGTCCGGCATGCGGGCACAGAGCAGCCGCCGTGTCTCTTCTCAACAAGTCCTCATTAGGTATCATTTTTTTTAAATCACAATCAGCAAGCGGGGGCAAGAACGTTGCAAGCCGCCCCTCTGGAAAGGCACCATAACCTTAGCTGACACTCAGGGAAAAGCGAAAAAAAAAAAAAAAGACAGTGGATTCATTTTAAATTGGCTGCCGACGTTTTTTTTTCTCAAGTTTTTAATGTGTGACCTCGGTAGAATTGCTGAGTTGCGCGTGCAAGGGGTGTCACATTTTGGAAATGGGTACAGAAAAGACAGAGATAGCAGTAGCAAGAGAGGGAGGGAGAGCGAGCGAGAGAGAGAGAGAGAGAGAGAGAGAGAGAGAGAGAGAGAGAGAGAGAGAGGTTAATTTGCACATATTAGAGAGGGCAGGATTTTTCATTAAAAAGGGATTGAAGTTGATATATGCCTGTGTGCTCCTGACACACTGTACTCTCTGATTGTGTTAAGTCCTTGACAGAACAAAGGATTGCCCCCCCCCCTCACTTTTTGCTCCCTCTACCGTTCCCTCTCTCTCTTCCAGACATCGCAGCCGATCGGGAGGAGACGCGGGGACATCAGTGTCACGTCACCCTCGCCACCACGTGAATCCGTGCGTCCTTCCTTGTCACCAACAGGAAGGACTGGTGACGCTTCCTCGAGGTCCAGGCTAGGTGGCCACTTGATTGGGAACACGTGCTCGACTGCCATGCAGTCAGAGACACGGATCCAAGCCCAGGCGGGTCACTCGCCGCTCGTGCAATGCCTCGATGGCTTCGTGAAATAATGGATGTGTATTTCCTTTAATAAGGGCCCCTATTCTCATAGGACCTCTCCCCTATGCTGTTACCTTGTCGCGGTCGGGAGGCTCGCGCATCTCTGAGCCGACGGGCTTTATGGTGATGGGCTGAGAACGTGAGAACATTCAAAACAAAGGCGAAAGAAGAGCAGAGCAGAGTGAAACCCTCAAAGCTGCAAAGATTCAACGATTCAAAGTCGACATATTGCATGATATCAACAATCGTCAAAACTGCAACATGATGCGGCTCCAAGACGGATCAACCCTGGTCAATAAGTGACGCTCCACGAGATTGTCAAGCATTCCGTGTCATTGCGCAGACGTACCTTACGATGTGGACAAGGGAAGCAACAATCACAACTGCTCCTTGCCTATTTGGGATCGGCCATTTTGGAGTCAAACCTGACCTTTCACCTTAGTGAGCACAGCCCACAGGTCGCGCACACACACACACACACACACACACACACACACACACACACACACACACACACACACACACACACACACACACACAAAGGGGAGATATTGATTGGTGATAGATAGATAGAGGAGGGTTGATAAGAAGGCCGTATTTGATGTTTGTTCTCGAGCAAGAAGTGAGATGAAATCACAATGAGCAGTCTGCTCTGTCCTTGGCTGCGTCGCCACTTGAGGCTTTGAACGAGTTTAGGACGCCAGCTTAAGGGATGAGGCCAGACAAGGGGTGCTCGGTCTGGCCCCCGGAAGAGCCATTGATTAACGCGGGCTCTAATGTTGCTCAAGGGCGTGTTTTTCTTCTTATGCGCAAACCAAGGTTCTTACCATCCCAAGCTTTCAGATGCCTCATTCGAACCACCGACCTTTGTGTTTTCCATGTTGTCTACTGAAAGGCAGCCATGCATGTTTGTGCCCCCCCCCATCCCCCCATTGAGAAAGATGAAGAAAATACCTAGAATGTGCACACGCTGTTAAATGGTTTTTACTACTGCCACCGCCTCCCCTGCTAGGTTGTTCCTACACACACACACACACACACACACACACACACACACACACACACACACACACGGAGTCACGTGTCTTCCCAAGAAATAAATCATCACTGAATACAGTGACTGACTACATCATGCTTGTAAGTGCAAATTGGATGTACCGGTGAGATAAGTGCCAATTAGAGGTAGCAGTGAGGTGCAGCTGTGCGGCAGGAATGCCACCAATATGCTCGGCGCTTCACACGTGCACGAAATAAGTGTTCACATGTGTCAGGCCCGCAGACGCGCGCTCGGGCACGCTCTCTCTTTTCGCGCTCACGCGGATGCTGGTGAAGTCCAATCTGGTGAAGGTGTGGTTCCACGAAGCGCCAGGCGCGTTTGCATGAGAGGTCATGTACGTTGACCGGTGTGCGCGCCGTCTCAAGGGTTGGGAGATTATGCAGACAAAAGGTGCACCTGGTGCTTTAGATTGAGCTTCTCTCCTCCCCTTCCTCCTTTTGATACCGCCTTTCTCTTCCATCCCCCTCTCCGCATCTCCTCCGGCCATTTCCAATGTCACCATGGGACTTTTAAAAGATTAGCTTAAAGATCTGCGCTGCTAATAACTGTCGACAGCTCAGGAACGAGGGAGACTCATGGAAACTGTGTTCTTTCTACTCCTTCCAAAAGTCGAGGTGCCATCCTTTTTTTTGTTCTCAATCTCGGGTCTCCTCGTGTGTTCTGGTATTTGGTCGTAGCGCCGTGCGGGGGCACCAATGGCAGACTTGTATTTGCCTTCAAAGTACTGATTGACAAAATCCGAGACACATGATTGAAAATGTTCACATATTTTATATATTTCTTTTTTTTTAGGGGACCTAATTGCAGCCTTTGCAATTTGAAAATTGCCTTCTATTGCAATGTTATAATATTAAATTGTAATATAAATTACAACATTGCAATGGTGATTCATTGTTCTGGGTGTGGCTTCTACACAATATTTTACATTTTATGACCAAAAAAAAAAAAAAGAAAAAAAGATGTTTCTGGGTTATCTACATTTGTGGTTCCCCTGTTGTAATCACCATTATGCAACAATGCAACACACTTCTAAGAAATGTCTCAAATATTTTACAAGGAAAATGTGTGGTTTTGAATGTGTAGGTGTGAACATTGCTGTCGTGCAATTCAACTCTGCTCATTTTCCTCTCCTTCTATCTTTTTCTATCGTGTCTTGTTTCTGAGCTTTGAACAACAGATTCGGGGATTAAAATTCAACTTTGTGCTTTATGAAGGCCTTACCATTAGGAAATCGAGTTTAAGAATCTTCACGTCCCAAGAATAAGCGACGACAAAAACAGAAACTGAATGTGAATAGGTTCTACTTTCCCGCTTGCAACAAAGAAGGAACAATTGTCAATATTAGGCAATACCGAGCAATTGCCATACCCACGTTGTAAAGTGGCGCGCACCTCCCTCTGATCCACTGCAGTGTCACTAAGCGAGGCACGGTCACTCAGAAGCTGTTTTTTAGATGAGTGCGTGGAAAAGTGTAAGGATGCTCCCACCTCCCGCGGCTCCTTCCCTGTTATTTATTAGATCATCAGAAAAGGGCACGCACACATACACACGTGCACAGGTGGGTGCGTGGAATCAGATGACAGGATTTTTTCATATCATCATGCATGTGGAACCCGCTGCTGTTTGATGAATACTAAAATGAAATTTCTCAACCTGACAACACTGGCAAAAAGGGGGAAATAATTAATAACACATCCCTCTCTGCCCATCGTTCATGCGGTAGTGCTGTGGCGTGGACACGCACGCACGCACACACACACACACACATATGAGAGTCCCACAGCATGCGAGGCCTGGAAGAGTTCATAATGAGAATAGAGCCTCACGTATGGCCAATCACTTGGAAGTAATTATCAGTAATGATCTGCCTGTGACTGATCTATTTTTACTTGATGATCAAAAACCAGAGCTCATCTCACATCTATATCCCGTCACATTCATTATAGACCTGCAGGCTTACATTCATCTCTGCCATCACGGCCTGTCCACACATGGAGCTCCTCGCCACTCCATTCACTGGGATGCAAGAAACAGTACATTGGCCAAATTGGAGAGCAAATTGTTGTTGGCTCAATCCATCCGTTTTCTATCACTGACTTCACGTGAAAGGGAAACTACACTGTGGACAAAAAGTGAATCGCACCATTTGAATATGTTCATCTCAAAAGGTTTGCTTGTTGTCATATTTGCAAAACGTCAAAAATAAAAAGGGAAAACGTGTGTATAAAAGAAGAGCGAGGGCTTCTGGTCGAGTTTAATTGAATTGATACATAATTCAGTGGCTTTCTGTTTGGGGGGGGCTTGGGGTGGTGGGTCATGTGGTTTCACTGCCCTCCTGCTTGATGGTCCTCCAAGCAGACAGCAGGTCGCCATGAAAGACAGCAGCCATACGTCTTATTCACACCGCCATGACGGATTTAGAGTACAGTAGAACATACTAATCTGCTATTTGGAGTGGCTGCCATATACCAACGTCAACTCACAGCTCACTGATCATGAAATCAACCTTCGTATTCTTTCAAAACTGGATTTTACAGATTCTTGGTTGACTGTGAACTCATCACACGGTCAGCTATGCGAGCAAAAAGCTTTTTATAACAGAAAAAATAGCCCAGGCGTTAATAAGGTTACTCTTATTATTCATTAGCACTTGTTATTTTCACTTTTTTTGTGGTAACATGACGAACGACGCTAATCGTGATGCGTTTGATCTTGGCTGGGAAGCTGCAATTCCCTTCCCGAAAGGGGAAAAGCAGACCGACGACACAAAACCACACAACGAAGTCATGTTTATGTTTTTGTTTTGTGAACTGACGAATTGAAGCATATTTACTCACTCGCCGGTCTCCAACTCACCGATGTTGTTTCGCGGATTTTCTCCGGTAGGTTATGCGAGCCGGAGTCAGCGGGGGAGAGACGGCAGGCTGTACCGCGCGGGGCGTCACTCTGCAGGCAGGCTCGCCGAGGACACACCGCTGAGTCCCCGGTAGGACGTCGCTGCTTGCCCGGAGCCGAGACGGGAAGCTTTTCAATCGCACTGAAAATATAAATTACATTCACACGAATACGTACACACCGACATGAACATTTCCAATTCATTTTCCAAATGACCTGAAAGTTGACATGTGTGTCTGTGTGTATGCGTTGTATGCTGTGCACAAGCCAAACCATTTAAGAAAATATTGTTAGTAAAAAAAAAAAAAATCTTTAAATTCGTATGAGACTCAATCTTCTTGTGCTATCATGAAACGTTTTTGTCATACATTTTTCTTCTTGATTTCATGTTAGTTTTTCAGCTCTTTCTCCCAACGAAGAAATATATGCTTTTAAAAAATGTTCAAGTGCTATTTCTTGGCCCGGTTTATTAAAATGCTTTTCGTATTTCAAAATGTTAAAACAAAGATTTCACTTTAAAAATTACATTTGATCCAACACATTTTTTTCTGTATCAAAAAAATATATCGGCTCCATGGGAGGCATGGTAGGATGTGTGTGTACGTGCGAGCGCATGAGTGTGTGTATCAGCAGAATGTCACTTTGCAGAAGAATACAAGCTGTCTGAGAACGAAGAGGGATGTAGCAGGAGCCTGCTGCTTCTTTTCGCCACCATTATCCTACAGGAGAGGGACCTGTGCGGAGGGGGGGGGGGGAATCTCACACACACACACACACACACACACACACACACACACACACACACACACACACACGGGGCTCCCTGGGAATTGCCTCAGCTGTTCCCCCCAAACGCTGAGCTTGTCCTCGTCCTCTTGCCTCGCTCGACCCCAAAGCTTTATCTGGCAGTTCTGGTTCCTCAGGGCGCCGTACTGGGGCCCCTGGCAGCTGACTGCAGGTTCCCAGCCAGGATTAAGCCTCTTAATGACAGCCACTCTGTGATGATTTACACTGCATTACTGTACACACCAACGGCCACCTCGTCTTGCTAATGGTTTCTTACTCTTGAGCCCCCCCCCCGTATTTATTGCTCTTTGCTGCCTCAATTTGAAGAGATGATCGAATTCAATAATGTAGCTAAATGAACCAAAAATATTTCCCCAAAGGTATAGAAGTTACTCATGGCACCACAAACGTTTTTACTAAAGGGATTGATATATTTAATTGGAGGGTTGGAGGTTGGTGATTTTTGTGTAATATTGGAGAACAACTGACAACAGACCAGTGTGGTTAAAAATATAGGATCTGTTTTGAAAATAATTTGTCATATTTTAACAATTGTCATAAAAATCATCAATGGACGCTTCAGAAAGACCCATGCAAAATGTAAGGAGGGCTGAATGAAACAGATTGCCCAACACCTCAATAAACACACTAGACCTGCAAAAATCCAAATTAATACCAATTGGACACTGTTAAGTAGCAAAATATGAACACATTGTGTATTAGTAAATACAGGATTGAATACGATTGGATGCCGGTATACCTAAAGTGATTTGTGTCGGTTTCTTGGGCAAATGCGTCTTTACCCTTCGATTAGTTTGTGGTGCGTTACACACATCACCATCCACAGCCACAGTGTCAGCTGAGCTATGTGGCCCACACCAGGTTAATCATTCGGGGCTTAACCCTCCCGCTTGAGCCTTCGGGCAGACACATCTCCTGTTTTCTTCCACCGGGGCTTAGTCATGTTTTGACTTTGCCATCAGGCACCTGGTCAGGCGGCACATGGGGGTCCTCCGTCAGCTGGTACGAGCCCCCACCAGCCAGCCTGACTCCCCACCAACCGAACTCGAGGGATGAGGGGGAAGGGAGGGCTGATGATGGACACAGTGGCTCTGCTGTGTTGGAAAGCAGCTTATAAAAGAGAAGGTCCGAGGTGGCGGCGGTGGTGGTGGGTGTTATTTAAACAGGCTGGCTTTGATTGACAGCTCTGATACTGGGTAAAGGCGGGGGAGGGGATGGGGCTATTTTGGGGGGAGTGAGCAAGTGGTCGGTAAAGAGAGGAGAAAAGTGGGGGCTTGTTGTTGAATTCAGGTTACTTTGTGTGTCGTGAATGCAGGGGAGGTGTATGTGGTGGCGGGTGACTTGGGTGGGTGAGGAAACAGTGGTGGAGGGGCAAAGTGAGCTTTTAATTACCAGGGCAGAAGCAGATGTAGCAGAGTGGTACCCCCACCTTTAAAACACACACACACACACACACACACACACACACACACACACACACACACACACACACACACACACACACACACACACACACACACACACTCCTTCTTAGCAGCTGGAAGTCATCAAACGTGTGTGTGTGTGTGTGTGTGTGTGTGTGTGTGTGTGGCACGCGCATTTTGTTTTTAGGACAGCAGCCTTGAAACATTGTTTAAATGATGTTCAGTCACACTTGTGGCACTTAGCTGCACAATCGTGTGTGTGAGTGCGTGTTTCAATTTTCTCATCCTTTTCGTTACCACTGCTGCATTTTCATTCCCCACACAGTTAATAGCATCTAACAAAGGCATTCAAGTTTTTTTTTTTTTTTTTTAATCGTCTGCGGTCGTGTCAACTGCCTTTAAATCAAATGGTGTTTATGGCCCCTCCACAGAGTGGGCACTGTGAAATATTTTCACAGGATTTAATATGTTCTTTGTCACAAAGAACCACATACATGGTTATTAACCTCGCTCGTGCTAGCATAGCATTATCACCATTGATGGGTGTGTGTGTGTGTGTGTGTGTGTATGTGTGTGTATATATATATATATATATATATGTATATATATATATATATATATATACACACACACACACACCTATTAATTAAAAATCAAGGTTGAAATGATAAGTTATCCTTTACACTTGTCAAATACAGTAAAACAATATCTTTGTGAAATAATTGGAATCTAAAACAGATATTAAGCATTTTGTCAACGAATTTGAAAATATCACAAAACATTTTTACTCGAGTAGATTCTTCTAAATGTCTCACTTTTTTTCCACAATACTTCTCGCCTGAAGATTTGCTTCCAAGTGTTATAAATTATAGACATTGAAACTGCACACAAATGAGCACATTTACAACATATGAACCCTTGCAATGCTACTTTGAAAGAAACGCATTATTTAACTTTCAATGCCTTGGCACAAGAGGTTTTGTAGTGGCAGCTTTGTGGAAAGTAGTCGTCGGAAAGTAAGACAGCTTTGCTTTTCGTACCGATAAAATTTGGGAATGTGTCTTGTCAACCATCTCCTTGAAAAGACATAGGCCTGTTAGTTAATCCAGAGTGTTTCTTTAATTTGTGATTTGAAAGACAAAGTCATTTCCCCTGCCCGTCATTATTTTTTTACTTGTACAAACGGATATAAACATTTTGTGTACAGATGAAAAAACACGTGCCCTGGAGTATAAAACGTCAAGAAAAACAGTGTGAAACCTATAAAAAAAAAGAAAAAAAAAGAAACAATGTCCCTGCACATATAAAAATAAATTAATACTTTGTGTGTCTAGTACCCCTCCAACACAACCCCCCCACGCCCCAAAATACAAAAATCACACATCCAAACTGATCCTTCATTGGCTTTGCTTCTCACCAACCCTTATGTACACCACCAGCCAATGAGGAAAAATCTCTATTTACATTTAAAGAGGTAAGAACGAACCCCACACCCACCCTTTAAACAGCTGCAGTCACACACTCCCCCCATCATGAATGATCAACATGAAGACGTGAATCAGAATCAAAGTCAATCAAAGGGCTAACGGCAAGCCAAAATAAGAACACCAAACTTTGCACAGTAGGACAAGGAGATGTTCAATAGCAACATCTGCAAGACATAACCATCACACACCCGTGACATCAACGCACAAATAAAAAGCACAATGCAAAAATGGGCTTGAATATTGCAGAATACGTCACAATAACATTTCCTGGTTTTAAGTGACAAGACAGAGTGTTTCATAATCGGTTGCCTTGGCAACACAGCTTAATTGCCAGCAGCATGAAGATAGCAGAGTGAGAGCGGGGTGAAAGTTTTAGGGGGGGAAAAAAAAGAAAATCGCTTGAGCTCAGGCACTTTTAGCATGGACGTTGTTTGGCCGCTCCTGACTCTTGTGGATTTTTATTGGCCGGCTGCTGGCCATTTAGGTCCTGTGTGCTGGAGAGGTAGGTGCAGCTCGGGGACTCGTTCGAGAAGGATGACCACTTCCGCATTTTGTCACGCATAGGTATGGGAATCCACGTGCTCATTTCGTTGTCGTTCCTCCTGTGGACATTTGTGCCCTCTGAAGTGAGCTCTCTCTTGAGCGGCCCCCAAAGGAGAGCGTCGTAAGCAGGATTCGGTGGCGACGGAGCCAGACTTGGCACGAGGACACGCAAATGGAGCCGCACAAATGCCAAACACGCATCTGCTATATTCGAAGGGATTCCGCCGTTTTGTTTTTTTCGGACAAAACACACTGTGTTTTTTGCGAGCACGTGTGCTAAAAGGCCCCTGAGAGAATGACGTAGCAGAAAGACCCGATCAGGTGGGAGGAAAAGCATCCGAGGGCCACCGCGCACGTTGCGACGTTTCTCAACTCGACGAGAACCCGACCATCCAAAATGACAGTCGGCCATTCAGCGCCGCCCATCGAATGGCATAATGTCCCCGCGACTCCCCTACGATGTGAAGCGTGCAAGCCCGTATCGTGTTCTGAGGCTCCCCGTGCAATACGTTGTTCTGTGTCGCTACGTGGAATTGCAATTCAAATTTTAAATTGCCGCAAAACTTCGGCCGCTCGTGAAATGTCGTGGCAAAACCCTCAACACTGCAGTGTTGACCGGATTTCCCCTGACATCGCTCAGTGGGCCGTGACCCTAATAAGAGACAGGTGTGACGGTTATACGCAGAGACACACATACCGCCCAAAAAATAAAAAAAATGGGGAAGGGGCATAGTATTTGTCTTCTCAATTACAGGGATAATGACATTGATGTCCAAACACTACGTGTCTTGTCTTCTGCTCTGCAATTGCAACAGCCTTCCTCCGTGTCCTTTTTTGAGGTATGCATGCAAGTGTACCAGAGCACTTGGGGGCTGTTGATGGAGGAAATGTGGCCAGTGTAGGGCTGCGGCGGCTCTTGCTGCATTAACTGCGAGAGCTGCTGCTGGGAGAACAGCGGCGCAAAAAGAACACGAGGGGGCTGAGGAGGGAATAATGGTGTGAAAATGGTCAACATCAGACAGATAGCTCGATTGTAGACGAGAGACGAGGAAGGGACAGAGGAGTGAAGTCAATGCAAGTGCTCCTAAGAGAAGACAGATACGGGGAAGAGAGGACAACGATTCAATCATTCATTGCATTGAAGCATCAAGTAGCTCATCGTGTGTGGCATACCGCTGAGGGTTGGGATGCCAGCAGCTGCTGGAGCTGCTGCTGCTGGAGGAGCCTCTGCTGGTCCGCCAAGCTGAGCCGCGCAGAACTGACAACGCGGGAAACGGAGTCGCAAGTTGGACACATTTTTCCTTACAAAGCACATTAGTTTGAAACTTCCCGTCTGTCTCACCCGTTCTTACTAACTGCAGAGCTGGTACAGTCCAACATGCCAGCAAATGGAAACAAGGGGAAGAAAAAAAACAGTTCACGATTTGGGTCTGATCTACTAAGATCCCAAACAGCGTCACATTTCATCAGATGTGGGCACGTCAGCCATCGTTCCGTCCTTATTTTAGGCCGGCCGAGTCCGTTGGCGGCGCAGTCAATCGGCGCTGAGAACGTACTTATTAGGGCCGCGACTAGTGAATCTTTTGCGATTTGGATGTCGCACTGAACATTATTTCAGGACGACGTGTTGTTGACGTCAGTCGGTAGCAACACTTTGTAATGGCGCAAATAGACTGTCTCTCGCTGTGTGTCTGCTTTTTGTTTTTTAACGTTTGACCACGCGATGGACTGGGCCGCCCTAAAATAATGACTTTTTAAAGTGAAGTGAGCATTCGGCAGCGTTGATGATTTTCACCAGGGAACGTTTGGGAGAGCGCAGGAAGCGCAAAATGAAGTTTGAAGTAAGGATATGGAAGCGTTAGTGGAAGAGCGACAAAAATCAAGCGAGCAAAAACAGCACCAAAAAAATAGACAACAATGGTAACAATACAAATGTCTGAAGTTGGATTGTAACAAGATGATGTGGACTAAGAGGGGATGTAACGAGTAGAAAACAAAACCGGATAGCAGAGGGCAAAAGTGGGGTAGCGAGCAAGGATGCCTGCACTACCTGTTATTGACAGGCACGGTTGAAGCTCCCGTCGCGTGAGGGCTTCCGGTCCCTGCCGGCGTCTGGATCACTCCGTTCAGAGTGCCAGAGATGCCCCCCATGCCGAGCGCGCTTCCGCCACCAAAGGCGCCCATCAGTCCAGACATGCTCCCCAGCCCGGCTGGGGTGGTCCCTGCGGCGATGATGCCGTTTAGCTGGGGCTGAGGTGGGCTTTGAGAAAGTGAGGGGGGGGTTGACAGGGAAGAGGTAGAGCCGCTACTGCTGTGGCCGCCACATGACGCGCTGTCCTAGAAGGAATACAGACACTGAATGAATGATACAGGCAAAACTAAACAGGTAAAACGCTTTAGTGTGCCCCCCCCCCCACAC